ACACGGCCCGTCCTCGCGCCCGCGCGGCGCCTTCCCCAGAGCTGCAGCGCCCGGGCAAGCGCCGGCTCGAGGCCGCTGCAGCGCGCGAGAAATTCAGGTTTCAACGTCACTACGGAAAGCGGATTGAAAAAAGCAGCTGCTGCGATAGGAGCTCTAGGAGCCTCGGCGGAGCGTAACCCAGACCCGAGGCGAGCGGCGGGGGCGCGCGGCGCTCCGGGCAGGGCGGCACACAGCGAGCGGCTGCTCCCTCGCAGGGCTGCAGCACATTGGCACTAGCAGCAGAAAACAAAACAGATGTTACGAAAGCTTCTTCCAAGCAGCAGCAGACTCCACTTGGTCACTGCAGGGAGAGATGCACATGGAAAAGAGGTGATACCCTAAGGCAAAGGCCTCTCGCTCCGGGGCTCTGGGCAGCAGCGCAGCTGAACGCCCGCAGCCACCCCGAGCGCCCAGGCCCTCCGCAGCGCTCTGCCCTCCTGCCAACACCCGCTGCTCAAACACCCTCCTGCCCCAAGCACTGGGCTGGCACCCGAGCCCGCTCTGCCCAGCGCTGATGTCCCCAGGGCACAGGCCCCGGGGACGCCCCTTGCCCCTCCTGCCGCTGGCATCTCCAAAGGGCCACGAACCTGTCCGAACCTCAGGCCTCGCACGGAGGAATATAAGGTATGAGCTGAACTGGAAGGGAACGGGGAGAAGGTGTCAACAAGAGACGGCTTTGATCCAAGTGGGTAGAGCTCCAGTCCAAGCCGAGGAGCGGTTAGCTGGTACCCGGAGAGATTTCTGGAAACTCTTTATAGATTTCCAAGATGATCAGTTTGTCCATCTGGCACTGCTGCCCCTCGTCCTCCTCCCCGAGGATGCGCTGCAGGATGCCCTGCAGGTCGGCGAGGCGGTGCTGGTGCTGCAGGTACGGCGTGGAGCGGATGATGGCGTGCATCAGGGACAGGTACTCCAGCCGCAGCTGCCAGCGCCAGGGAGACACAACAGGGCACAAGGGAAAAGCTCAGGTGAGCCGAGCCGG